ATTTTCTCACATACTTTTAATGCTTATTGTTGTCTTTTCCTAATGCATACCTTAAAACTTGAAAATTTTACTTTAATATTGATGTGTAACTTTTCCACAAGGAATAATAACAATTCCTAACAGCAGTCTTTGAACTCTCCGGAAAGAAGATGGGGCCCCACATCCTCGTTTCCACTTGACTCAACCTGATGCATCTGAACTACAAACATCATCCTAAAACTGGTTTGAGACTGTTTTGCTCGAGACAACTCATGACTAGATAGCTGTAATGGTGCACCTTTTTATTTCACCCTGGCCAGAATTTCAAATAGAACTACAGTCAAGAATTTTCTGCCACACAGTGACTAGCTACATATGTCACAGCCAGTTCTGTTGAGAAATTTGGTTGCTAAAAATTTTCTTCCTACAGGATCCATTGGAGCAATCATTGTCCCATTTCAGCAGGAAGTAATCTTAAGATAACGACGCCCCCTTTCCCTATCCTTGGAATTTTGGGATAATAGTCATCGTCTTTGGGTTGGTTTTAGTTATTTGGGATTGGATGATGCTTACACTCGGGTTTATCTTTTAGACAGGGATAGGGAATGGTTGGGAAAGGTATGGTTTAGATGGGATATAGGTAGATTAGCCTATTTTCTTGAGAATTTGATTAAGAATGAGATAGTATTTTACAGCTTACATTGTTGTGTATTCTTATGTGGTAAGCTATGTAAAATTAAGTTTATATTTTGTTATATTGTGTTAAATATTTCCACTTACAATGTTTTATGCACATTATTTTTTACCATATACTATGTATGTATACTTTTCTTGTATTCAAGACATTTTGTATATTGATACAATTTGGGATATTTATCTTGCTGCCCTTTATAGTTCTACCTCTTGTCTTGACACTTATACTCTACCTCTATTTTAGGGATTTACATGTATGTATATGTAAATAGTTATATTGTTTAAGTATTTGTTCCTGCTTTACTCAGGAAAGTTTTAATCAGTCTTTTTAGCTAGGTTCCCGAGTATTACAGATTATCTTCACTCACATTTCCTGTACCTATGAGATTAGTCAGATATAGATGCTTAATCTTCAATCACTTCATAGACATGCAGAACATGGCATTTAAATGTTTTAGTATTAGTACTCCATTGACATGAGACACTGTTGCTCCTGATAGCACCGTGCACTTTCCTGAAAATATGTTGGACACTGTTGTTGCTCCTGCTGGAGTTCAATCTCGCCTCAGCTAATGGCCTGTTGGGCATAGAATTGCCCCCACCTTGACCACTGATTTGGACATGCAGTCCTATGTGCTTGCAGGAGACAAATATAGAAGACTGCTTGACCTTGCCAAGTCAGGGTAAGACAGCCATTCTACCTCCCTGCTGTTGTTGTGGTCTGTCAAGTTCTCTTGGCCTTAGCCAAATCTGGGTGTACCAACGTTGCTGTGAGACCTAGGGTGACTGTTCAGGTGGCTTGCTGTTTCTGTCCTTGCTGCACCTTTTGGAAATTGTCCATCCGCATTTCCTGTCTACTCTAGTATTGTTAATTTCCTTCTCAGGTCTTGATGAGGCTGAAGATTAAACTATCACAACTATTATTCTCTCTTCCTAGTTAGATATATTAGGTACTAGACTTACGTTTTCCAGCTTAGGACAACTCTATTGTAAACTCCATTATGCCCTCACCCTAGGACTAGATATGTAGGTCATTTTGTTCTCGATTTTCCTTTTCTTAGAGCACACTTGTTATTCACTGTTTTGTATATAGTTTTGTATTAAGCCTAAATCTTTTCTTTAGACTAAAAGGGGAATTGTAGTGAGATAGTCCTTCTCTGGCACTGACCACACCCATTGGGGGGGTGGAGCGATGGGCGGAAGTGACCTGTGGAAGGAGGTCGGAGGGGGCCAGGAAAGGCGCGCTCTTTCTGGCGTGACTCGGACAGGAGAGGATCGGGTTGAATTTCCTGGTGTTCATCTGTCTAGGTTGTAAGTTATTTCTCCCTGAATAAACATCTATTCGGCCTATTTTTTATCCTGATCCTTATTTACCGCGATACCTGATGACCTGAGTTTGGTTCCCAAAAACGGTAGAGAGAAACAGCGACTTTCCTAAGTTGTCCTATGACCACCACATACGGTTTATGGCATGTGCACACATGTGCATGCATGTACACAAATAAATAAAAGTTAAACAACAATAAAAACAACAAAAACCCCAAATTAGCCCCAAACTATACAAATTCCAGAAGAAGATATGGGGAAAATTCTTTGTGACCTTAAGTTAGGTGAAGATTTCTTAGATGTGTCACCAAAATAATGATCCACAGTTGCAAAAAAAAAAAAAAAAGATCGTGCTATCAGAACTAAGGATGTGTGCTCTTTGAAGGCATTTTTAAAAGCCTTTACAGGAAGCTTTTATTTATTTTGTAGTATGTACATCACAGGAAACAAAGCACAAGAAGCCAAGAACCAGTCACAAGCAGCTCAGCTCCACGTGTCCTTCTAGATGCTGCAAGTGTACATACATACATTTAGGGAATTGAGAGTATACCGGGTGTACCATGCTTCCCCCCACATTGTGAATATTCACCCACTAAAAACCCCACGCTATATGAGTATTTTGATAACCAAGAATACACCACGCCATCTCAATCTGTCAGACAAAATTGTAATCCTGTCTTCCTTGGCAACAAAAATTTCACAGAAGACAAAAATGTCGGGAGGATGCTAGATAGACGTCCTGGTGAAGTCACAACTAAAAGTCTGCATTCCCTCGATGCTCAGCTTACAGGGAAACACAAAGCAACAGATTCCTAAGTTCATCACCAGATCTATACACTAAGATATGAGGAAGGAGTGCTCCTGCTCAGTAAATGTATTCCGATGGATGCAGAGAGGATACACCTATGGCAGGGTTCCCAGGGTGTCAATCTCACCGCAGCACGCACAGTGCTACAGATCTCACCCTGTGAGCCTCTCTGCCCCTCCACGGTCAGCCAAGCAACATAAATCAACTCACTGTCCAGACACGGCTTAACAATTCTGTGTTCAAGAGGCATCTTCTCTGACAATCTGTCAAGCTATACTTTTAACCATATGCTCTCCTTTAGGACATTCATGAAGTTCACATGTCGTAGATAAACACACGCATTTTTCCGTATGTACATGTGGATCTCTGGGTACAGTTGTAACTCTTCTGGATGTGGTGGTCCCAGCAAGGAGCCCTTCCTTCATCTGTCTTCTGCCCTGCACAACTCCAGTTCTATGAGAGTATCACAAAGGTCGCCCCCAGAAGACAGCTCTCTTGGAAGGCACTCTTAAGAGCATGTACAGACAAGCCACAGTAAGAGGGAAAATATTTGCAAAAGAGATCTAATAAAAGACACGTCCAAACTATGAAAGAAATTCTGGAAAATTCCATAAGAACAACTTGAGAAAACAGATCTGTTGTGGGATATTTGTATAGTATATGTTGCTGTGATTGGTTTAATAAAGAGGAGAACAGCTAATAGCTAGGCAGGAGGTATAGGTGGGACTTCTGGGCACAGAGAGAGGAATGAAGAGATAATCTTGGCGCCGGGAGATGCCAGGAGACAGAAGAAGCAGGATGGGCAGCATGTAACAGAATGCAGAATGACAGGAATGGGTTAATTTAAGTTATAAGAGCCGGTTAAAAGCAAGCCTAAGCCAAGGCCGAGCTTTCCTAATTAATAGTAAGTCTTCATGTCATTATTTGGGGGCTTGCTGTTGGTCCAAAGGAAAGTCTGATTATATAGATCAAATATGGGAAACAATATGGCCAAATAGCACATGAAAAGCCTCTCAGAGTTATTAGTCACCAAAGGATGAAAAATAAAATTTGGGATTCGAGCCGACATCTATTAAACTGGCTAAAATGAAAAAGAATGAATAGCAAGTATCTGCGAGGATGTGGGAGAGCAGCCAGGGCTCTTAACTGCTGAGGGGTTTCTCCAGCCTCAGGGCCAGGGCGTTTCTTATGGAGCACAGAGCCTGGAGAGACGGCGCAGACATTAAGAGCATTTGCTGTTATGGCATCGGACCTGGGTTCTATTTCTGGCACCCACATGACAATCCAGAGTCATCTGTAACTTTAGTTCCAGGTGATCTGATCCCCCCCACCCCCACCCCCGCGATGGTCTCAGTGGGCACAGCATGCAAACGGTGCACAGACACACATGCAGGCAAAACATCCATACACATAAAACCAAAAACACCCACAGAGTCTAAATCCATGTAAAGATGTGTGCTCACAGCCAATATGTTTATGGTAATCAAAACCTGGAAACAAGCTAAATGTCCACCAAGAGGGAAAGAAGAAACGAATCGTGGCCTGTGGGTATGGTGGAAAGGAGAGGACCGAGTGATTAGTAGGTGCCAAGATGGATGAAGACCCGACAAGAATCACGCTGAGAGAAAAGAGCCAGCCCAAACCAAACAGCATGAAATGAAACCCACACATGGTGTGTATGATGCTTCTAGGTGAGTCTACAAAGCACAGACTCATCAGGAGAGCAAGGTGCTCATTGGTTCTTAGGGAGTAAAGGAAGTAGAAAAGGGGTTACAAGTTTTGGGGTGGCAGGCAGCTCAGAGATTGTGACTGAATCGCAGATATAGACACATTAAATCGTATACCTTAAACACGAACAGACAGTGGTTAGTCTAGTACATCTTAATAGAGCTGTTCAGAAGGAATGCCTTATGTGAATGCCAAGCTTTCGGGTTAGAGGTTTCGGATATCAGGTTTCTCTTACTCCTTTCCCCCTCATTGGCATAGATAGCTCTGGCTAGGTGTGAACTCACACTACTCAGAACATCAAAAGGCTGCTTCTGCTGGCCAGGCAGCCCAGCCCTCCTGCTGGGCGAGCATAATCCCTGCCAAGCCCTCCTGATGGCCAGTAGGGAGCCTTGGGGCCTCCTAGCCTTAGGTGGCTTTGTGTGTCTCCTCTACAGATCCCTCCTGAGACAGCCCATGCTGCACTTACCTCCTCCTCCTCATTCTCTGACTGCCCGAACTTCAGCCTGAGGTTCTCCTCAAACTCCTCATCTGTCCAGTAGAAGAGCACCTCCGCACCTTCAGTGGCCACCAACACACACTTCATCTTCCAGGGAGAAGCAAGAGCACAGGTCAGATCTGTGGGTTCAGCCTGAGTAAGAAGAGCCTCAGCCTTTGGACATTCACTGACCCCTTGGTGCATGCCAGCCACCATCATGAGAGCCATTCTGGCCTCATTCTGTTACACCCTTATGTCACCTAAGGACTGTGGCTGGAGAGGAGGGTGGGAAAGAGAGGTACAAAGCCCACAGCATTCAGTCCACTGTCCTTATTCTGCTTTCCACAGCCCCAAAGTGGGTGCTGCCCCACCTTTCCACCCCCGCCCCAGGAGAGGAACATCTTTTTACCTTGGCAAGACACACAGCAGAGCTTCCAAGGAGCTAGTGTCGGACCAGTTCAGGGAACAGCACAGCATCCTTGGGCCTGCAAATGCTTAAGGCAGAGAGAGCGTGAACACATGCAGAGGCTCTGGTCTCCACAGCTGCCTGTTCCTGAGGGTTGACAAGCTGGGGAAGGGCTGAAAAGCCACAGGCTCCCCCATTTTAGGGACAGTGAACCTGGGGAGCCCTTTATGTGGAGCAGGTGTCGATGACACACTAGTTTCTACCTCCTCCGCTGCAGGAGAGGTCTTGTTCTGATCAGCAAACCCACCCTGAGCAGCTCCAGCGAGCGTGCTGTGAGTGTTGGGAGCGAGTGATGATGGGAAGGTGCCACAAACTAACAACACCAGGGTTTGGTTCTAGTTTGGCTTTCTTAGGTCATATTCGACTCAAACTCCTACTGGGAGACCAAGCAACAGAAGATCCCTCCTGCACCTTCCCCCGGGCTTTCCTCCCCGTTACAGGGAGTCACCCAGACCCAGCTAGAGGGCTCAGCTTAGGCTCAGCTTAAGGACAAGAATGATGCATGGATGTCATTCTTCTTTCCCGACTTCAAATAACAGGAGAAACAAACTCACTCCGGAATCCTCCCTATTTTGATAAAAGGCAAGAGAATCTAAAACCAAAGAGGAAGTTTCACTCTTAGGGGTTCATCGTTTGCAATGGAACTCTGAGCCTGCACCATCCTCAGGCTTGGCCTTAATGACAACTTCCTGAAAACAGGACATGCTTCTTGGTGGGGATCAGGTGATTATCTTCATAAGTTGCCAACCTCATTTTCTTACTTTTGTTCTCCCTACATTTTGCTCCAAAAAGAGGGAACTCCGGAGAAGAACTGCCAACCTGAGAAAATCCCCTGCATCTGCTTTTACCACCCGGACCACAGCTCTCTCACTGTCCCCAGCAAACTGCCCCTGTGGCCTCTGTCCTGTTCACTCCAGCCTAGTGAGGGGCGGGGGCGAGCGGGTGGGGACTAGAAACTGTGATGCTCCTATAGGAACTCCTTCGCTCCGAGCCACTTAGCACCGCGTCAGGGCGAGGCTCCGCCCAAAGGCTGCTTACTTAGTTCTCCAGCAAAGTCACCCTCAAACCCTTACGTCCCCTCCCACCAACTCCCCGAATTTCACGGTGAGCCGGGGGACTAAGGCCTGGCTTGTGGCGCCCGATCTGAAAGCGCATGGCACTGAGGCCGTTCCCGGGGACCCCCGGGCCTCTCCGGGCTTGGAGGGCTGGGCGGCGGAGGCGCCCACCGAGGGGCGACCCAGGGTAGCGCTCGGACACCCGTGATGTCCACATACCAGATCCGCCGCTCTCAGCGCCCAGCTAGTAGCCAGCCCGCAGCGCGCTTCCGGGTAGGACCACGTGACCCAGCCACATGACTCGGGCTGTCTGTGTGGGTTCGAGCCACGCCCTGTCTGGCATCGCTCTTGCTTGGCATTGACCTTGCCCCGCAGGCCGCTGCTCTTGCTAGTCTCCGGCCTGGAGAGCTGCGGCTGCTGGGGTGCGGTGGTGCCACATTCCCCTGGCATTAGGAGGGCTCCTACTGCCATTAGAGGCACCTGCTGCGGGCCAGTGACACTTCTCCCAAAGGCCTTTTCTGCCTCACATAGCTAAAGCGATTCCTTGGAGATTTACAGAAGGGGCAACTGAGGTCCCAGAGAGAACCAACTTGTTGAAGAGGGGCCGAACAGAAGCAGAACCCAGGGTCCCTTGGACCTCTACCCAGCCTTTCCCAGTCTCTAATTTTCTTGCTGAATCTGGTTGTGGGTGAAAGCTGCCCTTTTGTGAGTGCTTTCCCTTACTTAGGGCCCATGTAGGAAGCCCAACAGCCTCATGTGTGCTATGCTCCTTCATTTACAGGGGTTACCAATCCGCCTGAGGGCTGCACACACATTAGGGATGTTGTCTTGAACCTGCGATTGCAACCTATTTAGATTATGTGTATATTTGAAGTGGTCAAAATAGAGAACGGGGCCAATGTAGTCCGCAGAAAGGGCTGGATACCCACCCAAATCCTCACCTTATGTTTTGGTGCCTCTGGGAAACTGCATCCAGCCCAGAAGGGAAGGAGATGCAGAGATGCCCCAGAGCGGCATTAACACCCCCCACCATGAGAGGCAGAAGCCAAGAATGAATGCTCTGCCACTCGAGAGATCCATTTATTAGAGCATCGCTCCTGCCCCTCCTTTCACCACGCATCCTGCCCAGCCCAGCTTCACCACATAGAGCATCCATGTCGCTCTCCCAGAGGGGTTCGGTGTTTTCCTCTTGTTTCAAACAGTTTGTAAACTTAAGTAACTGCTACTACCCCTTAAACATTTCTAATCTTTCTAGTAGATGTTACCTGGTGATAGTAACTTCCCTTTCACCAATGACTAATGAATGGAGCTGACCATCTCTTAATGTGTTTTCTCTTCATTTGTGTGTCTTTTTGAATTGCTTTCAAAGAAGTATCTATTCATATCTTTTATCCCTTTTGTCGACATTATTTTCATCCATTTAAATTGTCTTTATTATCAGATTGTAAGAATTCTTTGCTTTAGATGTGTTAAGTTATATGTACATACACACAGACATATATTTAATTCCTATTATGTAGTCTTTTTCTTTTTTATGTGCGTGTGTGCATATGTGTGTGCATGCTCTGTATGTGTGTATGCACATGCATGCCCAGTGTCATCCTTAAGAATGCCATACAGCCCCTTTGAGGCAGGGTCTCTCACTGTGCAGAGTTTACCAATTAGACCAGACTGGCTGGCTGTCAAGCTCCAGGGATCCACTCTCCGGAATCATCACTTTCTTAATGATACCATTTGAAGTGTCAGGGTTTTCAGTTTTGATGTAATGCAGTCTTACCTGTTTTTATGAACCAGGAAAACATTTGGTCATCACACATTCCAGTTTGTGTGTGTATATGTGTGATGTGATGTGATGTGTGTGTGTGTGTGTGTGTGTGTGTGTGTGTGTGTGTGTGGTGTAGGGGTTAGCCATGAGTGCATGTGCAGAGGCCAGAAGAGCTGTTTGTCTTGCTCTGTCCTTTGTGCATTCTCCTGAGATAAGGTCACTCCCTTCACATGGAGTTTGCTACATTTTGGTCAGGCTGGCTGCAAGCAAACTCCAGAGCACCTCATGTCTCTGCCCTGTCCCTAGCATTGGGGTTACAAGCATGTGGCCACTCCTGACTAGAGATCCAATCCCCATGCTTGTGGAAGCTCCTAACCCCAAATTATCATTTTATAGAGGAGGGCTCTGGGGACCGGAGAGTCTGAATCAGCCTGGCAGAGATGCCACGGTCTCCAGGTGTGGACCTGGCTTCTGGTTCTCCACCTTCAAGTTTGTTGTATAGCTTCTTCTGAATTAAAACGCTCTCTTTTAGTGGGAGGAAGGGCTTATGAGGTTCAAGCTCACAAAACTTAAAAGCCCTTAGGAGCAGATTATAGGATTCCCACCATCCTGCCCCAAGGTTATAAGAGATAGGGTGAGGAGGCTCCAGGGAGGGGTGGGCTTGGAGGGGTGCTGTCTGCTAGGGAGCTGCCTTCAATGCCTTCACGGCTTGCTCTCTAGCCGAGTTGTACACTCTGTGGTGCACTTGTCTGTGAGTAGCCCATGCTCCCGAAGCCACCCCAGTCAATTCTTTGGCTCATTAAGCTAGTCTTTGAGGGAATCATTTCTTTGATCTGTGGTTGACGCCTTGTCTTGGCTAACTGACCTTGTTCACATCTTTCCAGGAAAAGTCACTCAGCAGTATTTGGGTTTTAAAATTATGTTTTGGACATGTCCAGTAGAGGGCACAGCATCCAGTACTAATGTTCACTACTGTAGGCCTGGAACATTGCAGATTGTTCTCTGATAAAAATGAGCTGTGAACTGGGACCCTCAGGGCTCCAGGGGTGGGGCAGGTGGAGAACAAAAGCTCTTTTAGGTCACTGTGAACTGTGTAACAGATTCTGTAGATTTCACTATCACCATTCAAGCAGCGACAGTCACTTGATAGCAACAGTGGTAGAAGCTCCTGCTAGAGAAGTATTCTCCAGTCTCCCAGCGTCCTTCAGCGTTTTGTGCTTCGTTTCCACCAAGCCGATGCTGGAAAGTGGCTTTCCAGACCAGGATTTTATTTTGTAGACCCTAGTCCCAGATGGGTCATGGAACTGAGGGGAAGGGACTTAATTGCTAGTTCCAGGTCAGTCCCCTAATTGTTCTCACTCGATCCTCCACGCTTTCTCTCCTTGTCTCAACAACTCGTGGGTGAAGGAAAGTGCGAAGGTGACAGCGTGTCCACATCAGTGTGGTTGCTAGTACGATATGAAACAGCCACTGCCCTGTTCACATCCCACCAGCCAAGCTTTAGGTGAGTTGTGAACAAGAATTAAACCGTGGTCCTGCTAGCCATCAAGATTATGGTGTTTACATATTGTTATAGTCTCATCTTCCTTAACCAACACATCAATGACATCTAACTAGAATTATAAAGTATAATTTCTACTTCTAATAGCTGAGCCAAAGCTTGTTGGGGAGTGTTCACGCAGTCAGGCTTAGGTTCCAGGTGTGGTGCGGAAAGCTGATGCTTCCCTTTCCCCACAAAACACGCTGACAATGGAAAGTTAAAGTAGTCATATTTTATTTCTTACAAAACATTACCTCAGAATAAAAACGACCTCATGGACTCAAACTCCCTGCAATTGCCAGGTTTGCATAAACCCAGCTCTAATGTGAGTTCTGGATGGGAAAATGAACACTGTTAGAATCCCGCACAGAGAGTCTTCCCCAGGAGGTGCTCCTAAGATCATTTAGGTAGCTTCCAGATGAGTAAAATTAAGGCTTCTTTCTATTGCTTCCCAAAGTATAATCTATGACACAACATTTACTACTCAAAAAAGAACCCTAGCATGTTTTCCTGAATAATAATCAGAAGAGTAACGTTCCTGACTTGGGTTGTTGGAGGGTACCCTTTTCACAGCTCTTTCATGGGACCATGGGAGGAATTAATGAGCCAGGCAAAGGGAAGCTTCTCCACTCCTTCGGAATGTTCCCAGCTCTCTCACGGACTTCTCTGGTGTTTAGACGA